CCCTCAGTCAGCATTGGGGAATAAAGCCCTTCATCTTACTTTCACATACATGGAAACCTCACTAAATTCCTGCCAGAAGCAGTGTGCGCTGAGCAGTCACACCAGTTATAAAGTTTATTAAATGAAGACAACACTAAGCATGACTATAAAATACATGGCTTGTGTGGGGCAAATATATTGAGGAAACCTTTTTTTTGGAGGGGGGGGTGGCTCTTAAAAATTTTTTTTAAAAAAGGGTGGGTGTTCTCTTCATAAGGAACTGGCACTGGGTCTTGAGGTACTGTAATACCAGGCTAGCACTGGGAGGGCCAGAGCCAGCCCTGACACCCTTCCCTTGGTGCTAAAAATGTTTGATCTTATAAATAAGACATTCATAGAAATTAGGGGCTGGAGGGGACTTTACAAGATCATTGTGTCCAGCCCCCCTGCACTTGGGCAGGAAAGACTGGTGGGGTCAGATGACCCCTGCAAGGTGGGTGTCAAGATGTTTTTTGAAGATTGGCATGGTGGGTGACTGTACTACCTGTGGGGGGAGTCTGTTCCAGACCCTTGGCAATCAACATGTAAAGAAGTTTTTCCTTATGACCAGTCTGAAATGCTCTTCAGTCAGTTTGTGCCCATTGTTTCTTGTCTTCCTCTGGGGTGCCTTGGTGAACAGATGCTCCCCCAGGCCCTGATGTACATCCCTAATATACAGGGTCTTTATAAAATCCTTGTGCACTTTTGAACTTTAATAACTTTGTTTCTATCATACCTGCAATCTATCTGTCAGTGGCTTTTAAAAGCAAATGTATTAAAGTTTTAGGGCAAGTAGAGTATGGAATGCTAGACTTCATAAGTAATAACAAATTTATTCTTAAATAAGGTGGAGCTCCATGCCACTGTGCTCTGAATGTGCAACAGTTCCTAAAAGATGTTTTTATGGGGACATGTTAAAAGTGTAGTTTACTTGTCAAACCACATTCTTTGGAACTTAGGGCTAGGATCACTAATGCAATTAGTGCAGTAACTCAAGAGCAACTGGGAAACGTTTTCAAGGAGTTGGAAGATTGGATTGAGCACTGTATCATGATGGATGGTGATTATGTTGAAGTCTAGCATTGTGTACTCTAGTTGTCCTAAAACTTTAATAAATTTTCTTTTAAATGCCATTTACAACTTGTTTCAATCATACCTACAACCTAGGTTATTAAAATGTAAAAGTGCACAAGGATTATGAAGACCCTGTGTCTACAGTCTGACACCAAATCCCCTCCAAGTCTTCTCTTCTCCAGACTCAATAGTCCCAAGTCTTTCAGCCTCCTCTCATATGACCTGCTCTCTAGGCCTCTAATCATGCATGTGGCCTTGTTCGGACTCTCTTGAGCTTCTCCACTTCCTTCCTGAAGTGTGGTGCCCAAAACTGGACACTCCAGCTGCAGTCTCACCAAGGCTGAGTAGAGTGGGAGGATGACATCCTTAGTCTTACTTGAGATGCACCAGTAGATGCATGCCAGTGTTTGATTTGCTCTGCCAGCTATGGCGTCACATTAGTGGCTCATGTTCATTCTGTAGTCTATCGCGACACCTAGGTCTCTTTCAATTGTGGTGCTGGCAAGCATAGCACTGCCGAGTCTGTAAGTGGGTTGTGGGTTATTTCTCCCCAAATGGAGCACTTTACATTTCTCCTTATTAAACATCATCAGGTTGAGATCCTCCCACCTCACAAGCCTGTTCAGCCCAGCCTGTCCATGAGCATGATCATGCTCCCCCATTGGTGTCATCTGTGAGCTTTGCCAGTTCCCTTTTAATACCCCAATCCAAGTAATTGAGGAACATGTTGAAAAGCACTGGTTGGAGTACCGAACCTTGAGGGACACCTTCTGCCATGTCAACTCAGTTCCATCGATTAATACTCTCTAGGTCCTACCTCAGAGCCAGTAACCTAGCCACTGGACCGTAAGGTAGTCGAGGCCACATTTTCCCAATTTTACCCTGAGGACATCATGGGAGACTAGGTCAAAGTCTTTTTGAACTCCAAGTATATGACATCAACCTCATTTTCCCCAGTGCAGGTGGCGAGTTACCTGATCATACAAGGAAATGAGGTTGGTCTGGCATGACCTACCCACAATGAAGCCATGTTGGCTATCCTTTACAATACTGCCTTCTGTTAGCTTATCAATAATGGATTCTTTGATCATTTTTTCCAATATTTTACCAGGGGTTGAGGTTAACTGATTGGCCTGTAATTCCTTAGGTCCTCCTTCCTCCCTTTCTTGAAGATAGGCACCACATTGGCCCTCCTCCAGTCTTCTGGGATCTCTCCCAAGTACCACAAATCTTCAAATAACTGCCGTAGGTTGTGCAATGATGTCGGCCAGTTCTTTTAGCACTCTAGGGTGTAGTTCACCCAGTCCTGCTGAGTTGTAGATATTTAGCCTCTTGCCAACTATGGGAGGGTGATCACCCCCACCTTGATCATCCTGTATCCTGCCAAGCAGGCTAACACCCATAGATTGATGGAATACCAATGCAAAGTATTTGTTTAGGAGTTTGTCCTGAGTGTTGGTTATCAGCTGTCCCATATTGTTCATCAGGGGCCCTATGATTCCCTTATTTTTTCTCTGATATCCTACATATCTAAAGAAGGACTCTTTGTTGTCCTTGATTCCAGTTGCCAATCTGTATTTGATTTATGCCTTTGCTGTCCTAATCCACTCCCTACAGGTGCAGGCTACTGCAGAGCACTCCTCTTTGGTGGCTATTTCTGACTTCCATGACTTGTAAGCTTCTCTTTTTAGTTTCAGGAGGTCCATGACTTCCTTATTTAGCCAAGGGGGTCTCTCAGCCTTTTTGCTGCCTTTCTTAGGAAAGGGAATGGACTTCCTTTGTGCTCCTAGGATCGCTTCCTTGAGGAATGACCACTTTTCTTGTACTCCCTTCCTCGTTGGACCATGGTCTAGCAGGGCATTGCCAACCAATCTCCTAAGCTTGTGAAAGTCATCTTTCCTAAAATCTAAAACCCTGTATATTGTAACAGATTGAAGAGACCTGCTGTTTTGCATGGGTTATATATACAACAAAACATCACTGTATATACCTCTATGTATTAGAAGTGTTTCATTTTAATCATGGAAAAATGTGGATTTTGAGTTGCTTTTTAACCTAAAAATAAGGGATTTATTTTCATCAGAGAAAACCAGGACCCTGCATATAAGTTATGAAGTGGAGTTTTAATTGGCATAAGCACTGTACTAACTCTTAGCACTAGCAACCGTACACGTGGGAATGTTATTTTCTCTTTTCTAAGGGAAAGAAATCGACTGGATTCTTCCTTTCTGCCATGTGACATTTAGCAGTAACATTTCCTAGTTCACACCTCTTTCTTTTATAGAAACATGCTACTGAAATCTGTTACAAATCACTTTCCAGCAAACATTCAAAAAAAAAAAAAAGACTGAAGATGGTAATAGCAGACACTGCAGTGACATGAAGGTAAAATCCTTGCTGGTATGTCAGTTTACATGGAATGATTATGCTGCATTGCATTTATCTATAATTCAAGGAGGAAACATGCCCTACATTAATATTTTTTGACACCATTATATTTTAAAGGAATTATCATAATGGTCTAAGTATGCTCTTGAACATAAGTTAATATATCAGTCTCTCTTGCTTGTACATCTAAAGGTATTTACAGCACCTAGTACCCGAACATTTAAGTTCCTTTTTTCTGAATTTTGTGAATATCTAGGCTAGAGGAGGAAAAATAATAGTGAAAGTCAAATAATTGTACTGAGCATTAGTGGCATAACTAGTACAGGGCCAATAGAGCAACAACCCCAGACACCAACTTAGAGAAAATGGGAGAAAATTTCCATCCATGGAAGTTTTCAAGAGCAAGTTAGATGGACATTTGGCACTTATGGTTTAGTCAGGGATGCTCCTACCTTGAGCAGAGGGCTGATCTAGATGACCTTGTAAAAGGTCCTTTCCATTCCTACTTTCCTATGATCCTATTCTTATATGAGAGTGAGAATGCATTCAATGATTTGTGCTTTGTGTGGGATACTCTCATTAAAAATCTTTAAAAGTATCACAAGCATAGTCTAGATGTTTCATAGTTTCATAGTTTCTAGGGTCGGAAGGGACCTGAGCAGATCATCTAGTCCGACCCCCTGCCATGGCAGGAAGAATGTGTGTGTGGGGGGTGGGGGGAGTTACAGATGTTAGAGACTGGAAGGAACCTTACAAGTTCATTGGGTCCAGCCCCCCTGCACTTGGGCAGGAAAGACTGCTGGGGACAGATGACCCCAGCAAAGTGGGCATCAAGACACTTTTTGAACATTGCCAAAGTGGGTGACTGTACCACCTGTGGGGGGAGTCTTTTCCAGACCCTTGGCACTCAACTTGTAAAGAAGTTTTTCCTTATGTCCAGTCTGAAGTGATCTTTAATCAGTTTGCGCCCTTTGTTTCTTGTCTTCTCCTGGGTTTCCTTGGTGAAGAGATGCCCCCCAGGCCATGATGTATGCCCCTAATATACTTATAGGCTGCCAGCAAGTCTCCTCTGACTCTTTTCTTCTCCAGACTGAACAGTCCCAAGTCTTTTAGCTGCTTCTCGTATGAACTGCTCTCCAGACCTCTAATCCTGTGCATGGTCCTCTGGGCTCTCATGAACTTCTCCACATCATTCCTGAAGTGTGGCACCTAGACCTGGATGCAGTACTCTGGCTGCAGTTTCACCAAGGCCAAGTAAAGCAGGAGGATAACATCCTTAGTCTTGCATTGGTAGACGCACACCAGAGTTTGATTTGCTCTGATAGCTACGGCATCGCTTTGGTGGCTCATGTTCATTCTGTGGTCTATCATGACACCCAGGTCTCTTCCAGTTGTGGTGCTGGCAAGCATAGCACTGCCAAGCCTATAAGTGTGTTGCAGGTTATTTCTCCTCAGATGAAGCACTTTACATTTCTCTGTATTAAACATCTTCAGATTGAGATCTGCCCACTTCTCAAGCCTGTCCAGGTAGCCTGTATTGCCAGCCTATCCTCAAGAATGACCACACTCCCCAATAATTTGGTTTTGTCCGTGAACTTTGCCTGTTTGCTTTTAATAACCAAATCCAAATCATTGGTTTGATGGCTTGGTGCTATGGAGTTAGTAAGTCTGGGGGTCCAGACACTAGGGGCCAAGCAGATCCAAGGCAGGAGCTAGGAAGAGTTTCAGGTGAGGTAACCATGGATGCAGGAGCTAGGCAAGGGTACAGCCTAGGAACTACACAGAGAGGTGTCTATGGAATAGTTGAGCAGCCAAGGAATGCTGGGAGGGCGGTGGTTTATAATTGGGTTGCTGCAGCTATGCTGGTCATTGGGATCAGCTGGAGGTAATCAGGTAACCATGAGTTAAACCCACACAGGGTGTGAAATCAGGGACAGCTGAAGGCTTATTCAGTCTTCCCACTTCTGATGCTCCTAACCAAAGGATCTAAACAAATTGTGTACCTGGTAGTTATGGAGACTGATATTCTTCCTTATACAACATTTCTCCTTCACTTGCAATAGTAGTAATTCAGGCCTGCTGAGGTTGCAATGGGGCTTGGATTTCACCTGAAGTGTTCAGCTAGGCTGAATCATTAGCCACTTCTAGTATGTCTTGTTTGTTATTCTTTACCTCAGTCTTGTTTAATCAATGGAATAACTGCAAATTATACCTGAAGGATTGAGTAAGCTGAAGTAGAATTGTGCTGCATATATCAATGATGCTGATGTAAACTTAAAGTTATAATTTGGCCAGAAACAGTCAGTGCTTATAATTTACGTGCACTTAAGTGTCGCTCAAATGGACATTTACAACTTCTGCACTGTATTAGTTCCTTGTGCCTATTTTGTTCACAAGCAGTTGGAATAACTTATACTTGGGTGTTTGCATTATGCTTAGTGCTTCTATGTTTGGTTGTCTACCAATGCGAGCTTCACATCATCTTTAGGATCATAGGGCTGGAAGGGACCTCCTGGCTAAGTACAGACAGTCAAAAACCTTGAGGCTGAATCAATTCAGTGTTTGCATTTGCCTGGATTGAACTGATGAGCAAGTGAACAGACGTTTGCTTCTGATTTTGGAAAAGCAGTCATTTGCCTGCAGTGGTTGAGGCCAGAAGCTGGGGGGCAGTAGAGTATGCCTCCCTGCTCAGCTGGAGAAGACGGCTTGGGCTAAGCCTGGCCCACCTACCCTGTGAAGGGAGGTTGCAGGAGAGGTGCAAAAAATCTTGGGATGTTGGGGGACAGAGAGTTAATTTGAATCTGAAGAGGATCTGGAACAGAAGGTCAATAAATTGATTTAACCCAAATCAACTAAGTCTGATATTGCATCCATCCAGGTTTATCTTAAACCAGTTTTGGACTTTTTGAAAATGGTTTATGTGCACTGAATTTTTTGTTGCATTACAGATTTAAATGCGTTGCCAATCACTTATATTGGTTTATGTGTAATTTCTGTCCCTAGTCCATAAGGTGCAGCGCCTTGCTCAAGGCAGGAGCATCCCTGACTAGACAATGCCAGTCAAGTGCCTGTTTGACCTGCTCTTAAAAATTTGAAGGGATGAAGTTTTTGTATCTTCTCCAAGTAGGCTGTTCCAATGCTTGATGTCGCTGTGTTATAGGTTTTTGGCCCTTCTTGGCTGACGTCTTGCTCTCTAGTGACATCAGGGTGAGATCTGGATTTGGCACCAGTGAGGTAGTTTGGGTGCTGCTCCTGCTCTCCTGCCACGTTTTTGATGTTTTACTTTTCTTCTTGGGAGGCAGTTCCCTGTAGGTGGCCTGAGGGGATCTCAAACCTGGGTTTCTTTGTGGGGCTCCTACCGCCCCTTTACCCCACCCTTACCAAATCCATGGTCAGGGTAGACTCTGCTCTCTGCGGGTCTTATTCCTGGATGATCTTGCCAGTGGATGATGGGGGCAACTAAACAAACCCCCATCTGGGGTTGAATGTAACTTAGGGAAAACTGGATAAAAAGGGTCAGCATCCACTAATGGACTCCAGGGAGCTCATCTCCCAGGGCCTTTGACCATGTTGAGGGCTCAGCTGTCCTTTCTTTCTTATTAGGCATCTGGGAGGTGTGGCTGCCCTGTGCCAAGCCTCTGCTGGCCCTCTTGGGGAAGCCTCTCTTGGGCCCATGCCCTTTCCCCTTTCAGGCCTGTCTGACCTTCATCTGGGGCTGTCCTGGTCCTACCAGCCCATGTGGCTCATCCCCCACCCTGCACGGGGGTCTATGATCCTCCATGTCTCCCTCACTGCTATGTTGCCTAGGGGTCTCAGGGCCATTGCCCACCACGGCCCCTGGGTTCTCTGCCGGAGCCTTGCTGCTCCTTTGTGGCATCCCAGAGGGCTGCTTTTCCCCAGTGAAGCTCCCTGGCTTCCCTCTGCTCCCAGGGCTTGAAATCCCCAGCTCGTCTGCCGGCATCCTCTGGCAAACGCTTGGCTTCCTGCTCCAAGTATGGGGCTTTTGCTGTCTGGCTCTGTAGCCGGTGTCTCTCCACTGGAGTTCCACTCTCCTCCTCCCCATGCTGGCTCATCTGCATCCCCAGGTGGTTTTTGAGGAGCCCACACCTCTCTAAAGCCATGCCCCCTGCGCTCGCTGATTTGCAGACTCAAGGAGCTCTGGAACTGCCAAGCCTGCTCTCTCTGCCCCAGCACCTCTCCCCAGCTGCCACTTTTCATTGCCCCTGTGGTAAGTATGACGGTGCATTGTGGGGAATCTTAAGCGATTAGGGGGGCTTTTGCCTCCCCTCTCGCACTTGATCATCCTCATAGTCAGAATGTTCCTTCTAATCTCCAGCCTAAATTTTCTCTACTGCAGTTTGAGACCACTGCTCCTAGTCCTCACTCCGACAACCAAAGAGAAAAGTCTATCTCCATTCTCGTTGCAGTCACCCTTCCAAAATTTGAAGCCAGTTATCAAATTCCATTCCCCCCCACACCCCGTCTTTTCTTCTGCAGACTAAATAATCCTGTTTTGTTCAGCCTGTCCTCAAACTCTTGTGTTCCTCCTTCATGCTGTAAATCTTCTCTCTTGTGGCCAACTTTCTGTCTTAAAGAAATTAGATAAGCGATACATTATAAGTCCATTCCCATAGTTTTACTTCAGCTATACTTCCAAAACTACCAGAATAAATGACAGAAGACACCCGACATTGTACTTTTATGAGCACCAGTAATTTCTGAAGTCGTCATTGCTATGAAAACTCCCAGTCCCACAATCTGAGTTGGTGTTTTTTGAACACCATCAAAATGTAGTTGAATAAATTATATTTGCCCTTTAAACCTTTTGATATTTTAAAAGCTTTAAAATAATACTTGCAAATATTTTACCTACTTCCATTTTTAGAACAAAGCAGTTAATTACATTAAATTGTATAGAGTTATGTGAGAATGAAGGAGAAATGACTGCTTTCTACTGTGCTGCACCTAATCACAGAAAGTTCTATACAGATTTCATTTCATATCCACTTCTCAATAGTTTCTGCTTTCGATCATATTTGTGTTGTTATAAGAATAAAAACTCTCCTTATACAGAGACTACACATGACTTTGCCAACCAAGCATTACTGTAATGTTTTTTCAAGTAGTTTATTGTTTGCTCTGGCAGTGATTTCCTCTTCTGATGCTATTCCATTGCTTGTTGAACTTATCTTTTTCTTGGCAGTTAGAATAACTCACTTAAATGGCACTCCTGCTCTGAAATGTAGAAGCGGAAAGAAGACCTGGATTTAGTCATAAATCATTAACTCTCTCCAGTTGCTGTTAATAATTACTTCATACCTGATTACAACATAAAGTCTTTGTCCATCTTAGACTTCCATATTTCTCCTTGTCACTGTGATATTTAAATGCCTTCCATGAAAGCTCAACAGCAAAACTCCCAGTTGGGTTCATCACCTTTCATTTAATTTAATGAACTATTGATGCAGCTAGAAATGATGTTTGTTAGCAGGGATTGTACCTATAACCATCAGGGCTAAAAGAAAAGGAAGAAAAAATATCAAATACCTGTATTTTGAGCAAAGCAGGAACACTTTTATTGTGACATAAGTCACTGATGCAAACTACTCAAGGGGGAAAACATGCTCATATGTTTTCTAACAGCACATCAGTATGCTGTTAGAAAAAGGGGATACGCTGTAAAATCAGCTACAGCTGAGCATCCAGCCTTGCCAGTTTGGGTTAATATTCAGAACTGTTGGTGTTTATATTGCTGTGTGAGGACTGGACTTGGCGACTGTAGGTTTAACATGAAGAAATGTTACTTCATTATTGCACTGTGGTTTGTTCTGATGATCAATACAAAACCTTTGCTTTAAAAAAAGATTGTATCACAAACCTTTGCTAAAGCTCTGCAAACTGGATAATTCTAGCTAAGAAGTAACCATCAAAACTGTGTGAGGGGTTGTCTTTTTAGTATTCTTCTCTTTTTTGTAAATTCACATTAGAGGTTTTATATTTGGAGAGGATATGCTTTTAATCGCGTGTCAGAAACTGCTTTAAATGCAAAATGCATTTTCATTTTTACAATGGAATCACAAGTACCTCCTGAATAAAAATAAGAATGTGTCATGCTTTCTTCCATTAGTCCACAGTTTGACCTACATTAACTCCATAACTCCTTTTGCATAGTCTAAAAGCCTAATGTGTTCTGTGGTAATAATAATTCAGCTCTGGTGTGTTGTTCATAATGAATTTATAGCACAGTAGTCATTAAACAAAGACACATGAAAATTCAATCAGCTGTACATACAACCTTAAAAATGCTATAATGCAACCCTGCGATTGGGATTTTACACATAAAAGTCAGGAAATTTAGAATAATGGTTCCCACAGCAACTGTAACTTGGCTCTGGAATGCCTATATAGTGTTTTATTGCACGTGATATTAACTTTAATATACTTGTACAGCGTGGCAGCAGGATATAAAACATAGAATTTCCTATCTTTTAAGTTGGTAGGCTCCACCATAATGTTTCTTTAACGTATTCTTTGGCAATTTATTTCCTTGATTTAAGGAAGTGGGGAGAGACTTTAACGTCCCCCCCATCCCTCCCCCCACAAAAAAACTCAACAACCCCATACCTGAATACACGTTAACCCAGGGGCTCTCAAACTCTGTCCTGCATGCTGAATTCAGTGCGAGAGGCTGTGGCTCCAGAAGCCATAGCAATTAGCTCTGCAACCACTTTTC